CAACCCTCAATACACACAAATGGCATCAAAATGGAATTAAACCTCTGCTATTATCAGCTCTGTTTTACCTAATAATACCCATATATTAAACATTTTATAACATCAGCTAGTGCTGTGGTCAATGCGGGTAGATTGTACATCCTTAGTATCAACCGTACCAGTAGTTTAGAGTTGGCATAGTGTTGAAAACTTCCTCTTGCAAGAAGTGTGGGGTGTTGTTTACTGATGCTAATGTTGTTGGACTCCCATGGATCATCAGATAAATGGGCTGTATTAAAGATAGCTGAATCCCAAGGTAGGCATAGTGATTCCTGTTAAGGCAGAAAGTAGGAGAGTAAATAAAGCAACCCCCTTCACCCCTCTTTAAAATCCCTAACCTGCTAGGAGGATTTTTTTTTTTTTTACTCTGGGTTAACTCTGTAACCTCATTTGAACTGAGCAACTCCTGTGCTGCTGATACTTCCCTCTCCTACCTGCAGGAGTTTTCAGACCACCCAAAGAAGCACTTTTTAAATCCAATCTTCTCTCCTGTCTCGAAAAGATTCTCGGACAGCAGAGCTCTGCAAGAGGCTTAGAAGGAGGGAGGAGGGAAACCAGGCTGCTGAGAGACCGACTGTAGGGAATCGGCAGCTCATCCCCAGTTTGGACAGCAGAACCGCAGTGTGGCGTGCCAGTGCACATTTTAAAACATCACGACAGTCTGCCTCCTTGCTCCGCTTTGTTTGCCCTCCCTCTCGTCTGCCTAACTTCTGTCGGCACTTTTAACCTCTAACTCCATCTTTCGTTCTTTTGGCTCTTACATCATCTGACTGGAGTTCTGCTCGTCAATGCAGCACCAGGCAGATGAGTCAGTTTATATTGACTCTCCTCTGTTCTCTCCATTCTTCCCTTCTCTCCTCTCTCTTCCTACAATCGCAACAGCCGACTGCATCGCCCACAGGGAAGGCAAACAGCCCACCTCCTTTTAACTATGCGCTGTTGGATCGTACTTCACTGCTAAGTGCTGAAATGCACTCAGTCAGAAAAAGGGAGAAATCAAGTCTTAACATTCCTTAATTTGGAGTCAATGATACGCTATATTACGATGCTGTAAATAGTATTTGCAGGGCAGTGTGGAAATGAGAGGCTGGCTCCATGGATCATCTTCAACTATGCTTGCGGTTGTGTGTGTTTTGTGAAGCTGCTCAGCCAGACAGTGCAGGCAGACAAGTGTCTGTGCTGACTGCAGATGAGATTGAGTGTTTACTGACATGGAGAGCATCAGCCACACATGCTCTTCCTTATGCACATTCCCAGTTTTAGCTGATCTGCCCTTTTCGTGGAACCCAATTTGTTCTTGAAACTGCCAAAATACCAATGCCGAAAGTTGTTCTTTTAATTTTTTTATGATGCACTGAACATTGAGTTGTTGAATTATTCTAGCTGATATATATTTTGATGAGCTATTTGTATTTTTCTGTTACATCAACTAGCTTGTCAGTCAGTGAAATAGATAGACTCATGTAAAGTTGACAACCATTTGGCCCTGTGTGTCGGCTTTCATAAGGACATTACTGTAAATGAATGTGAATTGTGATCAAATATTTCCATTGTGAATGAATTCATGCAAAATCAGCAGAAAAAAAGAATATGTTTTATATAATATGGTGAAACAGGCACATCATGTTACTGATTGTATTACATGGCTAGTTCCTAGAGTGACAATTTTCAACCTAAGTTGTTGGGATTTTAATTGGCAAAGGGGCCCTTGTTTTCTGTTCAACTCAGGCAGTTGACAACAATCAGCCATAATTCTATCTTTTATGCAAAAGTGTATTGAGAAGACCTCATAAGGAGTCACTCTGCAGTTTGCTGCTAGCTTTAAATGGGTATAGCAAACATGTTGATGACCTCAGATAAAAGCATAATTTAACCTACATACTGCGTGTTATATGTGGTGTAAAGTCTACTCTCTGAAAAATGAGTGACCAGTGTAGCGAATTTAAATCAAGGATGATTTCCTCCACTTTCTTAGTTTTAGACTTATTTTCAAAAATGTTTTTGTAGTTCCTGCCAGTCCATTAATTCTGGAGATGTTATTTAGGTGATATAAGACCAACTGATACTTTCCTTATTTATCTAAGTCTATCACTACACCAGATTTGAATCTAATTCCACATTTGTAAAAAAATAAATAATTTCTGTCAAGACAAAAAAAGGTGGTAGAGGCCTAAAATGATTAAAATGTTTGCAAATGTATCTGAAGTAATACCTGGCAAACAAAAAATTGCAAAGTAATGCAATTGCTTAACACTATTGCTTTCTATTTGTAAGAGAAACTCATGACATAGGTGAAACATATTATTTACTTCTAATTTAGGATTATAATCTTCTTTCTGTTGCTCTGTAGTATAACATACCTATATAATGCACTGATGGCTGCGGTTTGGCAAAGATGTTTGGATGCATTTACAAAGTACTAGAGTTCCTACAATGAGTTCTGGGTCTGCCAGGGGTCTTCTCCAACAACAACATTGATGTGAAAGGAGGGAATTCTAAACCGGTACCTAATTCACCTCTGTTGACTTATATTGATGCAGAGGAGCAGTGGCTTATTCTGACCTTCACCCTGGAGGATGGAAAACGGACTCTGCCTCAATTAAAGGAGTTCATGTGTTTTGGGATCTTCTTCATGATTAGTGACTTGGTTGAAGCCAGAACTGTGGTTCTAGATTAAAACCATGGCTGCTGTAATTTGGCCTCTCCTGTTTTTTAAAAAGGAAAATAGAAAAGAAAGGGGTGGTCAAAAGTACAAGTTGTTGACAGAACATCTCACACAAAAGTGGCTAAAATAAGTATTGTATTAATACTCAAATATAAAGTCTATTGTTTTACCCTTCAAAGTCTTCACTATGTCACAAACCGCCGTCTTAGGGAGCTTCTCCAGTTGGCTCTGCAACCCCCAACCAGCACTTCCCTTTAACATGTTTCGAGGGAAACATCAGGAGGCTTTGTCTTTATACTTCACTCCTCCATATCCTTTTAAACATCCATCTTCTGTGTTGATTTACGTGTGTCAGTACCTGTTGCCACAGAAACCCCCTTATAGTATGTCCCAAACAATAATGACAGATGTGTCAAATTATTTTAATACAAGTTCATCTGGCTGTCAGTCACTTGCTCTCCTATCATACAACCACCACTGAAAGATTATCTTTATGCAGTTTCCATCCGTTTTCTGCTTATCAGCCCTAAATCACTCAAGACGGAAAGGAAAGATAATTGTGGATATAAGGAAAACAAATGGCCTCTTGAAACGAAATCCTGCTACTTCTGTCCATGCAAGTGTATTTTTTGTGAAATGCAGACCTAAATGCTTTATTCACACAGAGCTTTTTGATAAATGGGTGGATTAAGTATAGTTTGCCTCATTTGGGGGATTTACTTTTTTTTTTTTTTTTTGGGAAAGGGTATTTCCTGATGTTTCTGATCATCAGATTTTTTTCAGACAAAGATACTGAAGTTCATTTTGGGATGAATAAAGTATTGTTGAATTTTATTTAATAATCCAACTAAAAAGAAAAGTAGTTTTATGAGCATGTAGTGAGTCGTTAGAACTGTGGACAAGTATAGGTAGAGCTATCCACCACAAACAGAGAATTAAGTTTAACAGTGGTGAACCATTCCAGATGTGCACAGTTAACCAAAATGATCAAGTGTTGAAGAAGGAACCAAGATCAAGTAAGCAGTTGCATACTTGGATTCTTGCAGAGGGTTGACACACTAACCAGTTCAGGTTATATAGTGTCCTAGTCAAAGGTTGGATTATGATCCAAAAAGTTAATTTAAACTTAAAATCCAAGTTTGAGGAGGAAAAGACAGCAACACAATAAACCTGAAAGATAAACCTAGACCCTTATTCAGTTGCAAAATATATATTTTAGGTTTATTAAGGAAAACATTTTTTTTACAACACTATATCTTTTCCTCTGCAAATGTTACAGACTGATGCATGTACTATCATATATCACAACCACTATAAGTTTTTACATTCATGCAGATTTTTGCACAGTCTCTGTCTTAGTCACTTAACATGCTGCTGTCATTTTTGCACATCTCTGGTGTAGGTGCTATTTTTTTCACATATCCATTACTGTAAAAATGTCCACAGCTGTAAATTGAATATTTATTCTCTAGATGCTGATCTAAAAAGAAGTTCCAGAGATTAAGAATAAAATAATTCTTTTGAACCTCATGTTTGTCTCGTGTCCTCAAATATGTTGTGGCCTGGGTGGTCGTAACAGATGCATAGTATTTGTATGGTTAAAAACACTGTGTAGTACAGTATTATATTTGTTTATTTTCTTAACTCTGTCACTTATTCTGTTATTTTTATACACTTTTTAAGGTCCAAATTTGTGTGACTACTTTTTTCCCCATTGTGGGACATTAAAGGGATTTTCTATTCTATTCTATTCTATTCTATTCTATTCTATTCTATTCTATTCTATTCTATTCTATCATGGCAAACAGTTAACACTGTGATCTCAGTCTTTGATTTTTTTGGTTATATCTGCTTTGCCACGCAGCAAGACAGCATTCCCATTACAGCAGAAGTACATCATGGCATAATTGGGAGGATTCCTATTAGCTGGATCGGGACAAAATATGTTCAGCCTCCGATGATTTTCACAATTACTCTTTTCTGTAACTTTAGGATTTGTTATTTATTTCCCAATGGCTGTGAACAACTAATGAAAGAACAGACGCATACACACAAAGTACTTCTAACTTTTAATAAAAAAAGAATACAATAATTTCCACTAAATTTAATGCAGACTATCTGTTAAACAACACAAATGCTGCTAAAAAGAGATGCTGCCAAAAGACATTTGGTTTATCCTGCGCAAAGACTCCTCTTTATTTTCTCTTTTTTGTTCAGTGCTGCACTGCTTCACCATTAAATCTATGAATTCCAGTTTAAATATATGGATTTAATGTGATGGTTTCTGTCTCTGCAGGGAAATGAGCTAAGAAAGGTTCTTCTCACTCGCTACTTTGGAAATCAAAAGCTGCACTCCAAGTCGGAGGGTGGGAGTGGAAACAGCTCTTCGGGATCCTTTGTCAAACAGTCGTCCGGAGGTACAGAGAAACCCCAAATAAACTCAGCAGACACTGAAATAACTGCTCTCTGCAGGGGGAGCAAAGGCAGCTAACATGACAGCATGCTTCCAAGAAGATGCGCTATTTAGAAAATATAGACAGATTTTATTTAGATCCATTAAAAACACTTTCTGTGGCACTGTATACATACATTTGTATTCAGCGTAAGCATGCTTTTGAATGTTGAGGCAATTTCATTTTTTATCTTTGAATAACTAAACAGATCAGTAAAATGTTAAGTGACTTCTAAAATATATTAGGCTTAACTGGCACATCAGTTAAACTTTGTAAAAAGGATAGCTCTTTTTTTTCAGTTTCATTTTTTTCTTTACTTGAATTAAGTTTCTCAGTTTTTATGCGAAAGATTTTAGATTAAGTAATTTTTCAGTGCATTGAATTGAATCAATAACAATAGAATTAATCTGTTCTTATGTCATAGTGGTTTAAGAAGTGGCGGCCTAGTGATTAGGACATAGAGATTGGAATCCTAAGGTTCTGAGTAAGAGCACCACTCCCACAGACTGCAACTCTGGGTTCCTGAGCAAGACCCTTAACCCCTGATTGCTCCCCTGGCGCCCCACGATGGCAGCCCAATGCTCCCCAAGGGGATGGGTTAAATGCAGAAGTAAATTTCTCCAATATGGGATCAATAAAGTTAAATTAGTATAAATTAATTATTATATAGGCTATCATCTACAATTTCCAATATATGCTGATAGAAACTCAATGCTTCTTTTAAAAGTTTATTTAACTCATTGGTTAATTTTACATGCGTCACTTATTTCTATACCTTTTGTTGTTGACTTTTGTTCCCTGTTTTAGTGATATTACTCGATCATCCTTTCCTAACATTCTACAGTAGATAATAATAATAATAATAATAATAATAATAATAATAATAATAATAATAATGATAGAAGCTGGTACCCCTCTTATCTTTCTGTCGGCATAATTTGATCAACATGATTGTTTCATTGTCTCTAGTGGATACATGTCGTTCTGTTTTAACCTCTTTGTTAAACCTGACTTTATAAAAAGTTCTGCATGAATAAAGTTTGATTGATTCATTCATGAATTTTGAGAAACAAATGAATAGACCAAGTATAGTTTTTATGTATAGATGAGGGCAGATGACTAATTACAGTATGTAGATACCTGTACGCTGTCTGCTTCACAGGCGTTTCCTTAAGCAGTTTCTAGATCTAAATTTAATATAACCATCTCTTAGTTAACCATTTTCTGTTGCAAAAACGTTTCATTCTTTTCATTTATTCTCTGCTGAAGGTTCTGCCTCACTGGACACTGACAAGCCAGGCAGCAGCATGGTGGAGATCCAGTGCCTCTTGGATAAGGTTGGGGCAACAGAGCTGGTGATCCACCTCATAGTCAACACAAAGAACGATCGAGTGTTCGAAGAGAGCATTTTGCTTGGCATTGCTCTTCTGAAGGGAGGAAACACACAGATTCAGGTGGGACCCATAGATGTCCATCCCCATTGTTGCCGATCTCTGTGTAGGACATGCCTCCTTATCATTGCTCTCCTTCCAATCCAGAACTCCTTCTACAACCAACTGTATAAGCAGAAGAATTCAGAAAAGTTCTTCAAGGTTTTTTACGACCGCATGCGCTTGGCCCAGCAGGAGATCCGATCCACGGTGTCCGTTAACATGTTTGATTTCAGCTCCAGGAAAAGGGAAGATGACAGCAATTTCTGCAGCACCAGATTTAGAAAAGGTAAAGCCAAGGAATGATGGGAGGTCATATTTGTAGAGGACGTTGACATGTTTCCCCCGTAGTTCTTTATTAAAATAGCCTATTTGAACCTCAGACATGTTTCTAAATGACAGTCTGCTGCGAACGCTATCAATAAAGTGTGATAAAGATTTTTGCAAAGACCAAAATGTTTTGTCAGGGAAGTGAAACACTGGTAGATATGCAGCTAGTAATAACTCAAAAGGCTACATCTTTATCTAATCATGTATAATTGCATTTGTGTTGTATATAAATTCTCATAGGATTCAGTGATGTTTGTTCCCAGATTTAAAAAATATGAAACAGTACACTGTGTTTTAATTACCTCTGCAGTGCACTGTGTGTAATCTCCTACCACAATCCTAACGACACTTTCAGAACCAATATTTGTACCAAATTGTTAAAAGGCCACATTTAAGTGAAAAGCTTAGTCATTTAAGGTCGTGTCCTGAGATCAGACAGACATTACCATAGAAACAATTATTCTTTTACACTGTGTGAGGTCTTGAGGTTCAGCTCAGCTTTTTTTCCCCTTTTTTTTTTGTAATACAGCAGTGGTGGATAAATCTCAAATGTTTTTGACTGCTCTCCTTATAGACTGTTGTTTCGAGTTCATGCAGTCACATGTCAAAGGCCGTGTGATACCCCACACCACAGGATTCACAAAAGCTCATTGTGTCTAGATTTGGTGGTTTTAAGCTGCATCACCCCACTTAACTGTGCCTCACTTGTAAAAAGGCCAATTATGTATCCCTTATTTTATTATGACTGATTTAATGCCTGAAAGGGTAAATGCTCCCCTTTTTTTTCACCTACATCAGTTTACAAAATTCCCCCTTTGCTGATTGCCACCATGATATCCACTTTATCATTGCTTTGCAGGGAAAGACCCTAGCCTTTATATGAAAGAAGATATGCGAGGGCAGCTGAGAGAAGCCTCGTCAGCCACGTCCAAAGCCATCTCCTCCTACAGAAATGAACTGGACCCAGATCTGGAATTTCTTGGCCAGAACCATGAGGCAATTGGAGCCGAAGAGCTTGAAGAAGAACCTGAGATGAGCTGGTCAATCACTGTCATGAAACCCCTCTTGCGATTCCTCCAGCTGCTCTGTGAAAATCACAATTCAGATCTTCAGGTGCTAAAAGCAGTCCAAGAACAACAGATTTATTTTTGGTTTTAAAACGGGAAATAATTTAAAGTTTGACATCTGCTTACATCTCCAGAACTTCCTCCGCTCTCAGCACAATAAGACCAACTACAATTTGGTGTGTGAGACGCTTCAGTTTTTGGACTGCATTTGTGGGAGCACCACTGGAGGTCTGGGGCTGCTGGGACTGTACATCAATGAGAACAATGTGGATCTTGTGCGCCAGACCCTAGAAACCATCACAGAGTACTGCCAGGGACCCTGCCATGAAAACCAGGTATGGCATTATCAAGGAAAGTTCTGTGTTTAGACCTTGAAACTTTCTCTCTCCTCTTCTTCTCCTGAGAAGAGATCACTGAGAAGGCGTGTAAATCACATCCATCATGGCGATTCAATTCAGTATCGATTTCCTGACCCAACCATTTGATTATTTTCGATAATCAAGAATACCCCATGATACGATTTGAATGTTTCAAATTTGAAATAAATCAATGAAAGCTATAATATCGTTATGCATTTTATTTGAGAAACAACAGCAGATAACAGAAGTAGAAAAGTTGTACTCTACCTTGGCCTATTAAAACCTCATTCACTGAAAAATACTAATGCCCCTGCGTTATATATTCTGAAAGGATTTGAATTAAAAAATACTGCACAAAATCAGTGCAATGAGTGCAATTCAATACCTCGGCTCCAGAGTGTCGACATCCCCGCCCCCTCCTCAGACGCTCAGCTGCTCCTCTTCCAAATTGTAGCTGACCGCAGACAGTGCTGCAGACAGGAGGCCGTCTTGTTTTGTTTTAATGGCCGGAATTGCGGAAAACAACTCGTGATGTCTGACCAGCTAGAAGAGCGAGGTGCGCGAGAACGCTGGGACCCTTTTTCCACCTGGATCCCCGCTGTTTTTCAGTCATGTCCCACTTCCTCCTCGCCTTGGCCGTATCTAGACCCACAGTGTGTAGCACAGACCATGCTTCAATATTGAGCATAAATCAAAAATGTCTGTGTCAAGCTCACTGTGACACACTGCTACAAGAGTATAATCAGGACCGAGGCAGGAGGGTAAAATATGTGTAGCGCCACCGCAGCACGGGAGTGATAATTACGCCCAGGAGCAAATGGATAAAAATAGACCGGAGGAAAAAATAAACATGAATCGATACTGTTGGATCGATGGATCGATACAAAACGATTATTATTTACACCCCTACTCAGGATAAACTCTTTAAATAACACTTCATGATGTATATGTCTTAAAGGTATAGTGGAGAATTTTCTCAAATTTTTAAAAAGACATGCAAAATGCACATGAGCAACCCTGTACCCGCTCCCGAGAGGGAACGCCTGTTAAACATGTGCGAGAGCATGCACAGGCCCATTTCTCCTCATGCACGCTCTGTTTAAAAGTTGCTGTTTGCATCGCTCACACAAGCTTACTTTCCAAAAGATTTGTAATATTTCCACTATGTCAGACTCACCACTAGTAAGTAAAAAAAGGGGGTCGAGCACGTAGGACGGCCTTACATAAACGTATCACCAGAATGATTGACAATTAGGAGGACACTTATTTTGATGATCCACCCGGGAAAAAGAACATCCACTGTAACTTTAAATAACCATGAGACATGGCAACAGATTTCTACAAAAATTGTAATCTTTCTCAGTCTAGAGAAGTTGCTCAGTGTTGCAGAATGCAGCTGCTTACCAACAAGGCTCACATGTCATTGGAGTGGCCCCGAATCATAGTTAAAGAAGCACTATGCCACATCATCACATCACGTTATTAGATCAAGGATACCGCTCTTATTTCATTCCAAAATCTTTGCCATGTACATAATGAAGATTGCTTTTTATCCTGACATAAGGAGCTGTCCTAATTAGATAAACTGCTTGAGAATATATTAGCTTTGACATACAACATGCAGGTGATATTAGGGTTCTATTTCATCCCTACTGACCGCCAGAGGGCGGTGCTGAAAGCACTGAATGTTCCCTTCGGGCATGCGCAGTTCGAGTAATTATACCAACAGAGTCACACCTGTGACACCGGATGACCACTCAGAAGCTATATAGCCTGGTGTCATCCTTTGCTCTGCTCCTACAGAATCTTCTCGCAAAAGCAAGGATTCTGAGTGACAGAGAAGCTCTGGCGGTCATCCGGGATTCATAGAACCGTAGTTACATACGTAACTTTCGTTCTATTTCATCCCTACTGACCGCCAGAGGGCGGTGCTGAAAGCACTGAATGACTAATGCCAACGATGTCACAAGGAATCCTGAGCACATACCTCCCAGTGTGAATAACTTCACTGCCGAAGTTATATACGGCTAACGTAGTTAGCTTCTTTAGTTTGTTGGTGTTATACCTGGTGACGGCAGCGGTTTTCGCCCCCTCTCCCAGTATATTCCCTACTTTTGCATCCCTTTTTTCACCGGTCTGCGCTGCTATAATTACTGACGGCCGCGGTTTTCGCCCCCTCTCCCAACCAAGTGTGGTCTACTTCGTTTGCCGAAGTTGGAGACGGCTAACGTTGTTAGCCTTTTTTGGTTTGTTTGCAGCCTTCTTCATCGGTCTGCTTAGTTATAAATGGCAGCGTTTTCGCCCCCTCTCCCAATATCAACCTTTTTTTGCAGCCTTTTCGTTGGTCTGCTCTCTTAATTTGTGACGGCAGCGTTTATCGCTCCTACTCCCTACTTAAGTTGCCATACAGCTAACGTTGTTAGCTTTTTTTGTTTATTGCTTTTATACCTGGTGACGGTAGCGGTTCTCGCCCCCTCTCCCAGTATCGGCTGCCTTGTGTCCGCAGCCTCTCTTGTTTTATCCGCTATAATTGGTGACGGCAGCGTTGTTCGCTCCTACTCCCAACTTAAAGTTTCCATACAGCTAACGTTGTTAGCTTTTTTGGTTTATTGGTTTTATACCTGGTGACGGTAGCGGTTCTCGCCCCCTCTCCCAGTATCGGCTGCCTTGTGCTCGCAGCCTCTTTCGTTTCTCTGCTGTAATTGGTGACGGCTGCGTTTGCGCCCCCTCTCCCGATTTTCGATAACTTTCTGTTCTTTAAGCCTTGTCGGCCTTCGACATGGATGGCTCTCACAGCTGCATAGATTGTGGGGCTGCCCTGCAGGCAGAGGATGGCCACGACCTGTGCCCTACCTGCCTTGGACATGAGCACCTTTTGGAGGCGCTGTCTGAGAACCCCTGTATGAACTGCAGCTTTATGCCCCATGCAGTGAGGGTGGCCCGGTTGGCCCAGTTGTGCCCCCAGGAGGGCTTGGACCTTCCGCCCTCTGGGCAGGTGGTTCCCCCCAAGCGTTCTAAGCGCCGTGGTGGGACCACAGCATCTGTGCCCCTCCCCCGGAGGAAGCGGGCCAAACCTGACCAGGGCCTGTCCACAAGGGTGGAGCAGTTGTCAGCAGAGCTGGCAGAGATGAAGTCCTTGTTGCAGACACGGCAATCTGATCCCTCGCTCCCAGTGGTTGGGCTCTCTTCCCCACCAATGCCCGAGCTGGTTATAGAGGATGACGTTATCTCTCTGGCTGCTTCCGCTTCTCATTTTAGAGATGAGGAGGAGGCAGGGTCCTCTCAAGCCTCTGAGGCTGGTTCATTTTCATCTCAGAGTGCGGTTGGAGAGGCCGGTGACGGTTCCATGCGGGAGGTCATGTCTATGGCCCTGAAGCAGCTGCAGCTGGAACTCCCACAAGGAGAGGCATCCAGCTCTGGCAGTGCTTTTTTCAGACGTGGAAGGGCTCCTACTCCTTTTTCTGTACCTCCATCAGAGGAGTACCTGAAGGAGTTACACGCCTGTTGGCGGGAACCGAGAGCGCTGTCGCGTCTCTCCTCGGATGGTCGTGTATTAGCTGCCATGCATGAGTCAGTGAAGGCCGGCCTGGACCGTATGCCAGCAATTGAACCAGCTGTTGCTTCACTGATTGTGTCACCAGATGAAGCCCTGCGTCCTGATGTCCGGTGCCCGCGGACTCAATGTCGGGTTACAGATGACCTCCTCTGTAAGGCGTACAATGCAGGAGCGCGTGCTGGCCGCCTTGGCAATTCCCTGGCGCACCTCATGTTTGCCCTGTCTGCATCTGTTCAGGACACTGGTGGTGCAAGTGCGGCGATTGGTTATAGTGACGCAGCGCTGCAGGCCTTCGCGCTGATGACCAGAGAGCTTGGACGGGTCATGTCTTTCCTTGTCCAAGCTCGTAGACAGGTCTGGTTGGCACAGTCTCCTCTGACTGAAGCATGCCGTAGGACCCTCAGGGGTGTCCCGGTTGTACCAGGGGAGCTGTTTGGATCAGCTGCCTTGGAGGCGCTGGAACGGACTGCTCAGGCACGTCAGACTAGCCAGCAGCTTTCCGGCCTTCGCAGGAGCATACCTGCCTTTCCCCAGCGTTCGGGCCGCCCTGCCACTACCCCCAGCGTTCAGCCACGACCTCAGACCGGTGGCAGACCTGTTGGTTCCTATCCCCATGATGTGCGGCAGAGACCGAGAAGGGACTTTCGTGAGCCAGTCTGCCGCCCTGTTAGACAGACCCGGGCCTCAAATCCTGGACGCCCTCCCCCCAGAGCCCCCAGGGGCCGTGGGGATAGAAGATGATGCCACCGGGCCAGCCGTCGGACATTTTTCCCATCAGCAGCTGAATTTCTGGGCTGCTCATGCCGTAGATCCATGGGTGGTTGCCACCTTAACCAATGGCTACAGGCTCCAGTTCCGACGGCGGCCCCCCCTCTCACACCGGGTCAAGATGACTGTCATCACAGACCCGGTGAAATCTCAGGCGCTAGACCAGGAGCTTTCCGCGCTCCTGGGCAAGGGGGCAATCGAGTCTGTAGATCCTCTGCAGCAACCCAGAGGCTACTACTCCACATACTTCCTTGTGGCCAAGAAGACCGGCGGTTTTCGCCCCATTTTAGATCTAAGGGGACTGAATCGGTACCTGAAGGTCCTTCCCTTCCACATGCTCACCATAACAGAGGTCCTTCAGACCATTGTGGCGGGAGATTGGTTTACATCAGTAGATCTGACAGACGCCTACTTTCACGTGCCTATTGCGGCAGAACATCGCCGTTTTCTCAGGTTCGCCTATCGGGGGCGCCATTGGCAATTCCGGGTGCTCCCATTCGGGCTCTCCCTTTCCCCGAGGGTGTTTACTCGATGCGTGAAAGCAGCCCTCTCTCCTCTACAGGCCTCCGGAGTCAGGATTCTGCCATACCTGGACGATTGGCTTCTTTGTGCACCCTCTCAGGTAGCTGCCTCTCGGGATACGTCCCAGCTT